GTTAAACTGTTACCGGTATGAACCCGTTTGTTCTCATATAGGCGCCAAATGGTTTTTTTTAGTAGGGTACTACTTGATTAACGGTGACCCCGACGTTAAGACATAATTTATTTTTCCCTACAGTTATATAAACCCGATGAATGAATGTATTGTACTTTTGAATGTATTGTACATTCGTGAAAAGTCAGATAATCGAAAACTCAAGCGGCGCATTCGGTCACGGCGTGATAGCATGAAAGGAAACTGCTCAATCGAAACCGAAACTGAGTGGCCAACTAGTTCCCAGAGGGCACTCCGTCGAAACGTCGTGTATTTCTTCCTGCGCCGTTTTTTTTTTTTTTTTTTTTTTTTAGAGTAGCACAGTAGCACAATTATATATTTGCGAATTCGTGTTTAGACTTGAAAACACCTCATCCAGCATCGAGCCAGCTGTTGATAGACTTTGCTAGAAAGCCGATCCAGCATCCAATCCAAAGCCGGACAAGGAGAGCAAACACAAATGGCGAGCGGGACGTTGGCGTGGTTCGCGGCATGGTTCAGGTACGGTGGCTCCAGGGTTGAAAAATTGTATGTGACCGTGGTGGCGAGTGAAAGCGCTGCATGTAAATCTATGCGGGGCAGAAGTCGCTCGAAGTTACCGCTTGTGCTTTGATTTTGATGTTCGTGTTCTGTCGGTTTCGTCGTATGTAGGCCTAGTGAACCAACTTCCGCTCAACAACGCTTGCTGGTGGTTGACTCGACGGTGTTGACGGCCCTTCGCCGTATCCCGACGATCGTTTCGTCGGCATGTCCCGCAAGACGGAGTAGCCGTCAAGTAAGAGAAATTACGAGCAGCAGGAAAGGGATGCGGCCGCGTATTATTTCGTAGTGGCGAGCGGCGGCACTTTTCTGTTTACGTTCGCCCACGTTTTTGCATCGGCTTCTGCCCGTTCGTAGTGTAGATGCCCTTTGCCTTTTGTCGCATCGCGCTGTTTCCACGCTTCGAGCGCACCTTCGGGGTTTCCGGCCGAGTATGGATGAATGTCGCGCCGCTAGCACGGCGAGACGGTGACCGGTCGGCGGCGGCCTCCGTGTGTTGTTGTAAGCGTTGAAGTGAAATTAAGGGGGGGGGGGGGGGGGGGATAGAGTCAATCGTGTACGCGCGCTAGGCGCATTTGTCACTGACTTGGGGTAGGGTGAGGGGAGAAGATAGAAGTAGGAGTCGGGCGTCAGGAGCGTCGTCTCACCGTCCCGCTAGCTCGTCATCCCATCGTCGCGCTTAATCCGTGAGTGAGTGTGAGTGTGTGTGTGTGGGGGGGGGGGGGGGGGGGGGGTTAGCACTAGTGGCTGGCACCGCGCGGTGTCCGGTGATCAAGGCGGTCTCCGGGGGCGACCGCGCCGTGTTGGTGGAGGCATGCTAGCTCGCCGAGACGCTGCTGGCGGGGCATCGGTTTGTGCCGTCCGCGAGACGCTTGTCCGTTATTTTATTTATCCTTGCATCAGGCTTTAGATTATGGCGGTAACCTTGCACTGTTTGCCATACTTCGCAAAGTCGTAACAATTTTTCTACAGGCGACTCCTAGAGCCGCTCGTCAAATTTTGCGGCACGCAATACAACTTCTTTTTTTCCACACAACATTTTTTTTCGCATTATAACTTAGCGGTATATCGAAACTTTCTGCTCGTAGCGCAATCGCACCAATGCTGAAAAATTCCGCACGTACTGGCTAACTGTCATCTTCGTAAGCTCGGCTCGTTTTTCCGAGTTCACATCAAACAAAACTAGGTTCCTTCTATGAAAATACAGTGTACCGTTAAATACCGGGCAAGCGTCCACTCAAACTTTGGAAATAATCGCAAAAAATGGGGGATTGGTGCTTGTCCGGTCGTCAAGTTTACATATAAATGTACTGTGCGTATTTCCTCAGATCTCACAAATTTGGTAATGGGTGCTTAAAGGAGCTGTGCAACGATATTCAGTTGGAATGTTTTTCTCTCTACATGAGCTTACTGGCACACCTGGGACTCAAGGATACTCACACGCAACGCCATTGGCCAAAAAACTCCTTTGTTGCGGTGTAATTTCAAGGACAAAAGCGATCATTTTCATTCAATCTCTCCTTTGCAAAATTTGATGACGTAACTCGGGGATCGCAGTACACCCAAGTGACGATATTTGAATGCGGTTCATAGATTGGACCCGAGCATTGCGTGGGCACTCGACTTGGGGTCGTGACAATTGCTAGCTCGAGAAGCATTCGGGTTGTGACCCGTGTCCAATCGCTGCAACGACGACAACAGCCGAGCCATAACAATGTCTGGAACTCAGCGCGTGTCCTCCGCTTTGCCAACCCCAGCGCGTGGCTATGATCAACACTGGCGGCATATAATCGGCTCCAGATCACATGGCCGCTTGTTCTGGCTGCGAGTTGAGGGGGTAAACGCTGCTCGTTTTCCTTTAATTTTTTTCTGGGACTTCTATTGCGTGGGGTGAAAAACGAACGCGTGTTTCATAGGTCATTAACATTAGGGATCCGTTTTAAGCGGTATTTGCGCAAAGCACAAAAATTGTTGCATTGCTCCTTTAATGTGGGATGGGCGGATGCACGGTATTCTACGGTATGTCCAGGCAGTTAGCGGTATCCTACGCCTTGGTAAGCACAACCGCACATTGTGAAGTCCACCACCGGCATGGCACAGGGCCCCGTCCTTACCTAGCGTGCCGTCATATGCAAGGAATGTATACTCCGTTCGCCCCTAAGCTGAGACTAGAATCTCCGCCTTCAGTACGAGCTCGCTGGCTTCTGCAGTGCTTTGGTTGCGCGTGCCTGCGTGATCGCACTTGTGTTAGCAAGGGCAGAAAGCTTGCGTTGAAGGCGGAGCTTCTAGTCTCAGCTTAAAAATGAACGGAGTATAGTCGAAACGCCATTGCCATTGCTTGAAAAACTGGATGTAAATAAGCTATTTGCACGAAACCTCGGTATCACGAAACCGTTGCAAGTAAAAAGCTACAAAGCATGGTGTAAACAGACCTTTATGCGAAATGAGCACCGTTTTTCTCTCTTACTGCTACTTTTATTACTTGGCGTATACCGGAATGCGACGCCGTCGTGTTTCATTGTGGCCGTGCATGGGGATATAGCCATGGAGTTATTATATTATCTGCTAAAGGTTGTGAAGACGTGACAGTGTGAAGTAACTTGAATGAACATCATGTCTGACCACGCCTTTTATTCTAGTGAGGAGGAGTACTGTTCATCGAAGAGAATGACGAAATAACGGTGGCGTCCGTCCCTCTGTTGTGGTTCGACGTGAGTATGAAACAACGGCGGGTGGCCAAGCAAAATGCCTGGGGCGGACATCTTGTCTCGTGTGCGACCGGGCCAAGCACCAGACCCTGACTGGCCTTCGTTCAGAGCATCAAGTTTGCAGAAATGCGGTATTATTTTGTACTGTTCCTTTTCATCTAAAGTCCTGATAATGTGCTGATACACGTTTTTGATCTGCCCTCTGTTAGCATGCTTGACCAGATTAGCTGGCGTGCAGTTGCTCAATTTAGTTAGCTCCATAATCTTCGTAGTGACACATGCACAATTACAGTAGTGACCGAGCCCTTCAATACGCTACTGGTCACAAAACTTTCTCGTAATGCTGTGGGAAAGCATTGCATGCTGCCAAGAACGACCGTGGTGCTGTCCTACTCTGGAGAGGTTTTAGACGGACAGCTTAGATGCTTGTTTTTAGGTGCAGCAAGTTCGCTTCGGCGCCGTGCTGTGCAGCGTCTGTTTGTACTTTGAAATGTTGTACCAATGGCCCAATTTTGGTGTTTTGTGAGATTGAGATCTCGTCAGGCTTGTACTGAGGGAGCTGACCTTTCTTTAACAGACACGTCGCCTGCTAACGTGAGTAAATAGGGAGGGTTTGTCTGCCCTAGAGTGTCATTTGCTGCGGGAAACAAGACGCCGTTGCGTCGTCTGCTACCAGAACCGAAGAAAGGTGAATCATCTGTTACCCACTGTATGCTGCAAGTGAAACGATAGAAAACAAAGTTGTATTGGGAACTGCTTCTATTTAACAAGGGGCACAATTGATGACCTGTGCTTTACTTGGAAGTGCCAATTCATTCTAAAGCGTCATATGCCTAGGTGAGAGGTATCATGTGACCACAGAGCAGCCGCTTGCAGCCAATTTCGTTTTCTATACCAGGGCAAGTGTTCTTAACGGGATTCTCTCCCATTCTTACACGGTTGATAGTTAAAAAAAGGCCGTCTTGAAAGCCCAGAAAATGGCAGTTCCAACAAGGGTACAGGCACCAAGCTAGGCCTAATAGACACGGACCTATATATCAGATTTTTAAACTGGTGCTTATCGCAGCCGAGCGCAGCGCGTCTCGCGTGCGTCGCCGACGAATCAGCATTTTTATTTCCATTGATTGTCAAAAAACATCATAAAACTTTGTGGGAGCATTCATTTTGACCATACAAGCCAAAACTGTGAAGTTCTGAAAATTGGGGCCGTGTCTCCTTTTTAGAAAGTTTATTTGATTAACACATTTTTTAAATTAAATTTATGAATATTGCATACAAATTATAACGTCTCTTAAATTTTTACAAAAATTTGAAACACTCACTGTGTCTGGCAACTGTTCCAAAGCTACCCAAACCATCCGAAACACCTGAAGGTTCAAGCATTCTTCTGAAACTTCCCGAAACCCAAGTTTCTGAAAAAGTTTCTTCGCATCATCAGTGCATAATGTTGATCAGGAAAATGGATAATGCTTTCTTATGCCTTGGTTACCTTGCAGCCTTCGACGCTCAGCTGCTTAGGCCGTGATAGACCCGCACATCCAGAATGGGCACCTACAGCAGCAGAACAGGGAACTGCAAGTCTGTTGGGCAGGTGCTCGGGCACGTGGTGTCTTTCAAGCACCAGGGAGAGCAGGCGAGGCCCGGGGAACAGGCGACGCCCCAGGAACTGGCCAGGCCTGAGCCACCCGAGCTGTTCCTGATGCCTCTCCGCAACATGGAACAGCTTAGTGCTGCAGAAGCGCAGCTGAAGAACTTCACCAACAGGACACTGCCGGTATTTATGTGTCCTCTTTTTCAAAATATTGACGGGTATGAGGCTGCGATTCTTACTTTGTGGTTTAACTTGGGCCTTTTACCGTAATATTTCAAATGGATGCCCACCCAAACTATGTTTTAAGCACAGTCGGTGGCAAATTAAAAATTAGTAGTTGCGCTACCTTCATTACGGGCCTTCTGTTATTTATAACAGCAGAGTGCATGCACAGCCAATGCACAATGGAAGGCTATTTATTGTAAGGGGTACCCTTAAACTGAACCCTGCAATAGAATTGTGTCAAGGTGACGCAACGCCAGTTGCACGTTTTGCAAGTCAGCTTTAGTAGCCTGCGTAAAGTTTTTGCAATTGTTAAACTGCGTTTCATAGAGGCTACTGATGGGAGAAATGATGGACGTTGGCGACCAAAAATTAAATATTTGTGCATCATTACATTTTTGAACAGTACTTTCCACCCGAAGGTCGTGTAGACAAGAAGCCTTCATGTGCATCCTCATTGAATGGCATTTTAAGTCTTTTTCAACTGCCGCTTCTTGAAATATTTTTAAGTAAAACATTTCACAACGGGGGAAGTAAAATCGCCCAGCACATTTGCCTTTGGGTGCTTACAATATGTCGGCCTGCAAATAATCATAAATCATGCTGATTTGCTACAACACTTCTGCCCGTTTTATCCTTAGAAGTTAAATTCCGCACCTGCAACACATCTCGCCGTGAGTATGTGTGCGGAGCACGCACAAACCAGCCCGCGTGCTTTTTGTGTTTAATGCTTGCTTGACAGAAGGATCGAGATGCTGTAGTATATATTGGGCTTCTTTTGGGTTTGTTCCTGTTCTCACTTGAGGCTATAGTTAAGAGATCTAAATATTTAGGGCGATAAATTCATTTGTGCTTTCGGCATCTGCTACAGAAGTAAAGGTACATGCTTGAAAATAAATTTTAGCCTGGTCTAAAATCGCTTTTGAGTGTGCCCACCATATGCGCATGGCCAAACAAATTTGTAAGGGGTTGCCAGATAAATCTTAATTAACTCCATCTTTACTTTATATTAGTAGTGCATTTCCAAAATGAGATGTTAACCAGTCCTAACCGAAGGTCACCCTATGAGAGGAAATCAAAATTTCCAAGGTGAAAGAGTAACTGTCATTGCATCTGCCACTTTATTCAGGGGTTGTGAGTGCATGCGCAGCTGTGTCTCCAGGCATAGCATACGGTAGTCGCACAAGCGATTATTACACGAGGCGAGCTTGAGCTGAGTAAGTTGGTTCATTGGCCTACAGGGCCACCACTGAGTCAGCACTAAACAAAAATATGGAAAGGTAACTACTCATACTGTGCTGATGTTGCCATTTTTTGCAACTATGATGACGGTTTGGTCAATTCCTGCCTTTTTATGCCTTTTTCAATTCCAGTCTTCGTAAAGTTGTAAAATAGGTGATAAATTTGCAGGGTGACTAGCCGGCAGCTAGACTAAGCTTTAACAAAGTCATGATGTGCAGGGTCTTGAATTCACTGTTTTGAGAACCACATACATTATTAAAATTACCGAGTGGATGCTGATGGGCAAAGAGGATCCATCAAAACGTTTGCACAATTTGAACGTTGCAACGAATTTGACTGACTAATGAGATTTAGCGGAGTATGGAGGGAAATATTTTAATCTTTCTGGTTTCGTCTAAGACAGGTAGAGTTGCCATATATTCTAATATTTTTTATTCTCTCTCTAGTAAATATTGTAACCATTTGATGCATGTATAGTGTGGCTTGCTGCATTTACCTGGGCATTCACATTCTCTTACTTGAGACATGTTCATACCATTGTATCTGCATATAAATAACTTCATTGACATATTGAGAGCACATTTTGTCTTTCTAGGAGGAGCAGCTCGTGTCTCTAGGAGACAGCAAGAACCTGCAGAAGGTGGTGCGAGAGGTGATGGGACGCCTGTCCTCAAGAAAAATCCAGGAGCAGTTCTCCGGCCCTTCTGGGCTACCAAGGAAAGTCAAGGTTCAAGGACGCCATGACGTGTAAGGTGGTCATCGGTATTGCATATTCTTTACTAGCTATTAAATTGATGGTATCTCTATTGGAGCTCAATAGACAAGCACAATCTTTGAAATATGTTGACAATTAAAGGGAAACTGAAACACTTCTTGACAAAAAAACGAGTTATAGGTGACTTCTGGCATATTTTTGTCCTGTGAATCTGAATATCGCTTTCGTTTTCCCCGAAGGTGTAACTAGACGCAAGAAAACACGAAAAGCCTCAGAGCAGTCGTTACGTCGTACTAGGATCTTTGGGGCGCCAAGCACGTGTCGCTCGTGTGGGCGGCGCGTGCAATTGCAAGCTTGCCAGTTGTATTTTTCCACACTGACGCCAGTTGTGGCGTCGATTTCTGACCTTTTTACAAATTCAAGAGTTCATGTGCATAGGTTTGACAGGAGCTGAAGATGAGCGAGAGCTGAAATTCCGAAAACTCCCAGCATGACGTCACGCCCCGGGCAGGAGGGGCTTCAGGTGTACTTTAGAAATTAATTTCTGGAGCCTCCATGCACCAGATTGAAAAAATAAACTCGATATTCGTGATCCTGGAGGCCATATCAAGACGATTTTGGTGTTCTTCGTCAAATACAGAACAGCTTCAGTTTCCCGTTAAGTCTTGCGATATGCAAAATTTAAGTCGTCAATTCATGTCTTTTTTTTTAAATTTGATTTGCATTTTTTATTATGAATATCTCCTGTGTTAGCATTTTCGGAATCTTCATACTGAAAAGCAGCGTTTTGAAGGAACTGTGAAAAAAGGTTTTTGTTGGTCTTGTCTTGTTATCCTGTTAGTTTCCAGGTTGAAAATCTAATGACGACCATTTAGAGGCCTTGGTCTGTAGAGTGTCAGTTGGGGAAGTTTTGCTCTTTTTTTAGCCACTCGTCTCTGCGCCCCACCCCTTCTCGCCCCCCGCCCCGTCTCGCCCCCCATTTCACATTAATAGGATGTTGCGTGAAATAGCCATATGCCTCCATAGAATCTGCACCTTAGCGTGGTAGTCAAACCCACAATCTCCACCTCTGTGGTGCTCTCTTTCTGTCACCTTTGAATTTCAGGCTAGGTGAGGGACCTATATTTACACAAAGGAAACGCTCACAAATTGCAGTGTGTGAACAGCACCTTGTGTGTAGCTAATATGCAAGATATTGGCTTCCCCTATCCCTCAACTAATCTGTGTGATCTGACAATTCTCTTTACAGGTGCCATACAAAGTCGCACTCGTGCAGCGTGGACGCGGTGCAGAAGTGGCTGACGGGCAGGGAGGCGGGCAAGGGCAATAGAGTTAAAAAGACGGACACTCCACTGGTGGTTCCAACCGCCTTTGACGATGAGGGAAACTCGGGCTGAGGAGCTAGCTGCTATGGATGCACGAGTCACAATAAAGAACGTCACGGTAAAAAAAATTCTGTATGTTCCCTTCTTGTACTACCCACAATATGCATCTGGGCGACAGATGAATGGGACATGTCGTCTCAACGAGTATACAGTAATTGCCATGAGTATACTGTATACATGGAGAAAGTCAATTGTTCACACAGAATTGTTTCTTAAAATTGCACAAATACTAAACCGGCTTTTTTCAATTCAAGTTCGAAAAACATGTTAAAAACGGTCAGCACCTATAAAAGATATGAAAACCAATAAAATAGTTCGGACTGAGAAATTTAGCATTTCCACATTTAAGTCAATTTGATCTACTGAGAAGTTAGCTGTTCAAAAATGCAGTAGGATGTCATTCCTGGGTTTTAAAGCCTGACACAGCTAGCATTCTGCTGGTTCTATGCTGGGTACAGTGAATGACGCATACGCTGGTGCTGATCCGCAATTTCGCAGCCACTGACCCGCAATTACGCTGGCACTGATCTGTTTTTACGCTGGGACTAATCCGCAATTGGACTGGCTCTGACCCGGAAACACGCTGGCACACTGATGGTTTCCTACCGTACCACCGGTTCCATGCCGGGGATCTGTGTCGGGAGCTCGCTGGGAACATCCCGTATTCCCGGCATCCCAGTTTCCCAATAAGTTCCCGGTACCGGCCGGATTCCGGCATTGGGCCCGGCCGATGTCGCCCCTTGGGGCGTTTCCGGTACTGGCCGGTATCGGTATCCCGGCAGGCCAATACCGCCCCATCCCCAACCCGGCGTGTTGTGCTACTTGGGGTAATCTGAACTGGATTACTGTATACCGTAAAATGAACCGTGTCCAAACCGTGGGGCCGGTGCATACTGTTATCTGAACTGGATTACTGTATACCGTAAAATTAACCGTGTCCAAACCGTTCGGCCGGTGCGAACCATAATCTGAACAGGATTACTGAATACTGTACAATGAACCGTGTTGCCCTACTGAAAAAAAACAAAAAAACATATAGTTTTCATACAGGTTGATTCGTGTGGGTCATATGATGTTATGGACATACGGGACCCGTATGCAAACAGGTCGTACTATATGTGAACGGGTCGCATACAGAAGCACCGACCTGATACGGGTCGACCTGCTATGCGGGCCCTCCCATTCTGCAGGTCCGCCTGTACAATTCCTGTTCGGAAAAAGGTGAGCTAACAACCCCCGGTGTGTCTTTCTGAATCCGAGGCTCTCCATTGAAATGAACCCCCGACACCCTTCCTGAAAAGAGCATGCAAAAGGAACTAACAAAATGACTCGAAACCAGGTAAAGTTGACAAAACATATATGTTACACGCATGACAAAGCAAATAATCCAGCGCTGTCGTGACATCAACAGGAAAACCAAGTTAGCTCCCGAAAGTAGCTTAAAACTGCAGCTTCTTGTTGATATCCTGAAGTTGCTCCGCAATATACTTGTTCATGAGACCCTTCCGTTTTCTCGGTGACACATCCAAGGGTGCTTGCCCGATGTAGATGTCGAAGGCATCTGAACATAAAACGAACGTGTAAATTATCCATACGCACCGTTGGTAAGTCAAACCTGTTTATATCGAACTCTCAAAAAACCGTCTACCAGTCCAATATAGCGGGTAATTTATATAACAGCTTTAATAAATTTGACATGAAACAAGCACGCCACATTTAGAAATGTTGTTTACTCTTGAAATGGCGTCTGTACGTCATGAGGGAGGCTCTACGCGGCTATTCAGTGGCCGCTTTATTTTTCAACGCCTCACCGGCTCACACTCTCCCCGCTTTCTACGCAAAAGTCAATTTATTTTTTTCTTCTGCACGGCTTACCCGGTTGCTCAAAAGAATAAAAAAGCCAGTTTTCTATGCGAGCTTGCGTCCCCCCAACGTACTGCCTGCGTTGGGGGAAACCCAGCTTGCAGAGCAAAACGGCGCTCTTGGCAGTTTGATCTATTGGGATATGCTGCAATTATCGTTCATCGTAACCGCATTTTTCGCTATGCATTTTTATTGCAGCTACTAGTCTGTTTACACCTAATTCCAAACAAGGTACGAAAGTAAACGTTTGGCAGAAATCTGCCTGGTTGGGTAAGAACAATTAGAAGAGGAGGAAGGAACGCCAACCAAAAATAAAAAGGAGCCCAACGTTTCGAAACCTGCTTGGTTTCTTCTTCAGGAGCGACTGTGTGTGCGAGGAGCACGTGGTCTTCTTTTACGGCGGTGGACGTGATGTTTTCGCGATCGTAATGTGGCTGAGCCCGCTGACGTAAGCCGACGGTAAAGAGCCAAGTGACCGATTGATGTTTTGCGGTGTGGTTTGAATGTGCCATGACTCGACGAAGAGCCTTTGCCGGGAATTGGCGTCAATGTCGAGGATGCGTGTGTCGTCGAAGTCAATGCGGTGGTCATTCGAGTCACTGTGTTCCGCAACCGCGCTGCGCTCATGATCGAATTTTCGCACGTCGGTTTTGTGCTGGCGAAGTCTTTCTTTAAAGTTTTTGGTTTCGCCGATGTATGTGGCAGGGCAATCCGCACAAGGAATCTGGTAAATAACGCCTTGCGCTCTTTCCTTGGGGGGACGATCTTTTGGCCGGGGCATCAGGTGTCCAAGCGTTGACACTGGTTTGTGGGACATCTGGATGCCTTCTTTTGCCAGCACACGCGCGAGCGCTTCGCTGGTTTCCTTTATGTAAGGGACGCAGATGCGCGTGGTTGAGCGGGGATGTGCGATTTCTTGTGTTTCGCCGATTGGTCTTATGCCTGATTCACATGGTGCGAATTTGCCTGCGATTTCGCAATTGCGACGCCGTTCTTGCGGCACAACGCAGTTGCGGTGCGAATTCGACTAATTCGCAACTCCGTATTTTGCCAAACTTTCCTTGCGAACGGCCGCTCTTGCGAAGGGGACGGACAGCCAATCAAACGCGGCTCGTGAAAGACGTCACGGTGGTCAGAGCAACGTGGGAATCAAAAATACGAAAAATGCGTCACCTACGTCGTCGTCTTCAAAATTCGCTGCGGGGATGGGGCGCCGGATGTGCTTCTTCCATGTGAATATTTTTTGCCGGGGGATGTAAGCTTCAGTTCGGCATTTGAACGAACTGGCGTTTGCGTACCACGCGAGGGTTGTGATTGCTTCCTTTGTAAAATTGCAGGCGATAACAATTGACGCTTCTGTTCGATCACTTTGCGTAAGGGACTCGTGGCATAGTAGGAAGATCCTTTCTTCAAATCTGTTTACAGATGACGCGAGGGTCTGTCTAGAAACCGAGAAACGCTGAACAGCACCTTGTTATTAAAGCCATTTGATAAAAATCGAGCTTCACATTTTTACGTATAGTGACAACAACTATTGATATGTAAACGCGCTGGACGCGTGCTACTCAAACGACACGCGTGTAAAATGGCTTTAATTACAAGGTGCCGATCAGCGATTCTCGGTTTCTGGACGGACCTTCGTGTCAGATCCCCAAACAGATTTCAAGAAAGGGTCTTTCTACTATTCAATGAGTCCCCTAGGCAAATGTCACACGTGCCACGCGTGACATTTGTCATAGGAATCCTGTGGCAAATTGGTTTCGTGCATAGTTTGCGACTATTTCACCAACATGATTGTTTTGGCTTTTTTTTTGCATCTCAAACCCTGTGGTTTTTTTATTTATGTCGTTTCCTTTATCTTCAGTGTTTTTGTCATGTTCGCAGTCGCTAATATTGTTTTGAATTAAAAGAAAAGCTAAACATTTACGTTAGCTTGTTCATGCTGACCTACGCTGAGGAAGTACAGAATGTGTTTTGCACGTCCAGCGTGTCGTTCATTTCCTAAAAGTCGGCCGATAAAACGCATTCTGTGTTAAGTAAAGACCCGATTTGGCAGCGTAGGTTAAACGAAAACAGTAAAATAGCACCTCACCCTGTGGGGAATCAGCCAGTACTCTGTCGATCTACTTTGGGCTATACCTGCTACAAAAAGTGTCCGCCAGTTTGTCCGTAAAAGAGGCAAAGACCCACAACCCATTTTCTACAAAAAAAAGTTGACTGATTTGCAGGCAACAGGTCCGGGGTGGAAATTAACTAGAGAGATAATATGAGGCAGGGGTGATCCAGAAATAAATTTTTTATTGCTCGCTTTAAATGTTGAAAGATAACAACTAACAAAAGACAAAAAGATGCAATTACAAAAGAAAAAGAATCAAGTACAGGCTCACCTTTTTGGCAGACATCAAATATGAATAAAGAGGAACATAACATGTTGCTGGAATCATGGGGTGCAGCGGCGCCAAAAGGCAAATATTTGCGTTGTGCGCCAGTGTTGCAAGGCCGCCCACTCATCTACGCACGCCGCCGACGATCCGAGTGCCCCTTGTCAATGGCCAGACGAAATCGACTCCTACGTGACCCGGAAGCTACAACGCAAGGCACGACGAGAAGGAAACTCGCCGTGCCTTCTGTTATAGCTTCGTCGTATCCACATAACCCCCTATAGCCCACCCCCCACTGCAGAGAGGGCAGATGCTACGCTTCTTCGGCGTGTACAAACACACTCCCTCTCAACACTACACTACCTCCAGGATCTCGAATATCGAAATTATTTTCTTTATAATTTGGTGCATGGAGGTTGCAGAAAATCATTTTCGAAGTACCACCGAGGGCCCTCCTTCCAGGAGCGTGTCGCCACAAAAGGAGTTTTCGGAATCTTCCTTCCAGCAGCGTCCACCAAAGCTATGCACGCGTACTCTTGCTATTTTTTTTAAGAAGGGCAGACAAATATGTTAACACTTGTGCCAATACGGGGGAATACACCTGGCAAGCTAGGGATTGCATGCGAGGCCCTCGAGCGACACGAGCTTTGCGGCCGAAAGGCCCTCTTATGAAGCCACGAC